GCAGGGTGTGTGGGTCACCTCTGGGTGGGAGCTGCACGGATTCACCACTTCTGCTCTCCTTCCTCCTCGGGGTCCAGCAGCGTTGCCGACGAGGGTTGATTCTTCAGTCTGGTCTGGGGTGGGGCAGCAGCACGGTGGAGCAAAGCCTGCGGTGGGCATGTGGTGCGAGAGAGAAACAAGTCTGTCATTTCAGTCCTAGCTTAAGATTCTAGAGTTGTGCGTGACTGAAGCAGAACCCCCCCATTCTGACTGATTCCGCAGCACTGCTGGTGGGACGGTATCGATATAAAACGTCCATGTGCCTTTTATGTAGCAATTCCACTTCTAGCAATTTATGAAACAGACACGCTCACACACGTGCAGAGAGGCACGGATGAGGATAGACAGGCATTGCGGCTTTGTTTATAACAGGATAAAACAGAAAACAACCTACACGCCCATCACTGGAGGTTGGACAGAACATAGAATGGAACGATCTGCAGCCAGAGAAATAACGGAGCAGATGTAGGTGCACCGATGGTCTTAACCCCAAGATTAGGGTTGGAGTAAGACGTTAGGTGCCCCCTCTCCACCCACCAATATAAATAAAAAAATAAATCATAAAATACACATTAAAAAATCAATTTAAAGATATTTTTATAAAAATAGAATATCTCTGGGGGCCAGCCGGGTGGCACAAGCGGTTAGTGCGTGCGCTCCACTGTGGTGGCTGGGGGTTCGCCGGTTCGGATCCCGGGCGCGCACCGACGCACCGCTCGTTAAGCCATGCTGTGGCGGCGTCCCATATAGAGTAGAGGAAGATGGGCCCAGATGTTAGCCCAGGGCCAATCTTCCTCAGCAAAAAGAGGAAGATTGGCATTGGATGTTAGCTCAGGGCTGGTCCTCCTCACAAAAAAAAAAAAAAAGAGTATCTCTGGAAAGATACCCAGTAAAGGGGTATATTAGTTTCCTAGGGCTGCTGTAACGAATTACCAACCACAAATTTGGTGGCTTAAAACAACAGAAATTCATTCTCTCGCTGTTCTGGAAGCCGGAAGTCTGAAATCAAGGCATGAGCGGGCCTTGGGAGGCCCTGAAGCCTCTGGGGAGGCCCCTTCCTGGCCTCGTCTTGCCTGGTGGCTCCTGGCTGTCCTTAGTTCATGGCAGCATCACTCCAATCTGTGCCTTCCTCTTCACATGGCCCTCTCGCTTGCGTCCCTCTGTGTCTTAAATCTCCCTCTCCTCTCTCTTGTGACATCAGTCATCCTAAGCCCAGGATGACCTCATCACGAGATCCTTAGCTTAATCACAGCTCCGGAGACCTTCTTTCCAAATAAGAGGACAGTCACAGGTACCAGGGGTGAGGGTTGGGCATATCTCCTGGGAGGGACACTATTTGACCCACTACCATGGGTAACGGTGGTTGCCCCTGGGAACAGGGGGTCAGGAGTGGGACGGAGGTGAACTTTTCAACGTATATTCTTTTTTTTTTTTTTGTGAGGAAGATCAGCCCTGAGCTAACATCCGTGCCAATCCTCCTCTTTTTGCTGAGGAAGACTGCCCCTGGGCTAACACCCGTGCTCATCTTCCTCCACTTTATATGGGACGCCGCCACAGCGTGGCCTGACAATCGGTGCATCGGTGTGCACCCAGGATCTGAACCCGGGCTGCTAGCAGCGGAGCATGCACACTTAACCACTATGCCACGGGGCCGGCCCCCGCTGTATAGTCTTTTGAACTACTCCTATTTAAAAAAATGTTTCCTATAAAAAATTTCTTTATTGAACATACACACAAAAGGATGACTCTCTCCCAAAAAAGAATGTGGGTATTCAAGACGTTGATGCTGTTAAATTGCCTTAATTTATACTCACGCCAACAGTGGCTGCACACTCCAGTGTCTGAGGTTGGAGAAGACGGCGAGGATAAATCGTGAGTTCTGTCTGTTGTTCAGGCTGTGAGTGGAAGTCAAGGGGGAGAAGGCCATTTCGAGAGGGGGCATTTTTTTTCTCTTTATCTTTTTTTCTCTCCAGTTTTATTGAGATATAATTGACATACAGCACTGTATAAGTTTAAGGTGTACACCATAATGACTTGACTTACATATAATGTGAAATGATTACCACAATAAGTTTAGTTAACATCCATCATCTCATATAGATATTTAAAAAAAGAGAAAAAAAATGTTTTTTTCCTTGTGACGAGAACTCCTAGGAACTCTTAAGAACTTTCCTGTGTATCATACAGCAGTGTTGACTAGAGTCACCACGTTGTACATTACATCCCTAGTACTTACTGATCTTAGAACTGGATGTTTATACCTTTTGACCCCCTTCCTCCAATTCCTCCACCCCCATCCCCTGCCTCTGGTGACCACAAATCTGATCTCTTTTTCTATGAGTTTGGTTTTTTTCCCCTTAGATTCCACAAATAAGAGAGATCATGCGGTATTTGTCCTTCTCTGACATGTTTCACTTAGCATAATGTCCTCAAGGTCCATCTATGTTATTGCAAATGGCAGGATTTCTTTCTTTTTTATGGCTGAGTAGTATTCCATTATATATATATACACCACACCTTCTTTATCCATTCGTCTGTCATTGGACACTTGGGTTGCTTCCCTGTCTTGGCTATTGTGAATAATGCTGCAGTGAATATGGGGGTGCAGATATCTCTTTGACATAGTGTCTTCATTTCCTTTAGAGATATTCCAAGAAGTGGAATTGCTCAATCGTATGGTAGTTCTATTTTCAATTTTTTGAGGGAGAACATTTTTAGAGTGAAGAAGACTTGAGAATGCTTATGGGGCGAAGGGAAAGAAGAACAAGAGATGAGGAGTTTGGAGACAGCAGCAGGGGAGGAGACAGTGGAGGCAGGAGACCTGTGAGGAGGCCAGACTGGGGCAGGGGAGGGTCAGCGCTGGAGAGGAAGGTGGTTCCCTCTGTCCTGAAAGAGGAAGGAAGGAAGGAGGAGGGAAGGAGGGGTGTTGGCCCAGAAAGCACCTGAGTGGAGGGAAGGACCCAGAGGGGGCTTCTGTCTTACCCAGACCCTGCACCCCTGGGGGCAGCAGGCTGGTTATCAGCTGGCGAAGGAATGGATCTGAGAAGAGGAAGATGACACAGCTGCTTGAGGCAACTTGTGTGTGCGTGTGTGTGTGTGTGTGTGTGTGTGTGTAATTAGCAAGGCACAAAAGCCCTGCCAAGCAGCGGGAGGACTAGCTGGGGCTGCCCCTCAAAGAGTGCAGTGGAGAATATGAGATGAGAAGTGACTGTCCCTCTGGTTCCATCTGTCGCAGAGCCCAAAGTGCCTGCGGGGCTTCCTTGTTCCCCCACTTCCATCCAAACACACCTACTGCACACTCAACAGTGTCCCCCTTCCTCAGCCCAGGGACATCGTGTCCCTCTGTGCACGTGCTTGATCATCCTCTGGGTACACTTCAAGAACCCCTGGTAGGTGGGAAGCCCGGGGCCCCAAAGAGGAGCATCAGGAGAGCTTGTTCCCCTCTCCCAAGGGCTATTCTCACTGTAGGGGGAGGCCTTGAGAGGAAGCTGCCAGAGCACAATTCAGATACATTCCCTTTACTGGCGACAGGAAGGAGAGCTTCCGCTGCCTGTGGAGAGCCACGAGCTAGCATTTAGCAAACAACTAATGAGCTCCCACTTTGTGCCAGGAATGGCGGGATATTCCTCGGAAGAACAAAGTGGACAAGGCCCTGGCCTCGTGGAGGTCACAGTCACCCCATTGATTGCGTGGTTTTAGTTCAATCGACCCGTCGGAGTGAGGTGTTTGCAAACGCAGTGGAAAGGGCACCGACCTTGTTGTCCAGAGACCCTGGTTCAGAGTCAGTGGTTTCATTCAGAGCCCACTGCTCGTCTGTCTGCAAAGTGGCATCGGAAGGCCTCGGTTGTCTCTTCCTAGGGCGGCGCTTCTGGGAGGAGCACCTGGAGTTACTCCACACAGGACGCCTGCGGCTGCTCTTTCCCTGGCGGCGCAGCGCATCCTTCTCCCTGGCTCACAGCAGGTGTTGACTGGATGCTTGTCCAGTTGCGCTCTTGAACATGGTGTGTAAAAGGAATCTGCAAATGGAACCGCTTGGAACACTGAGCTGGTGCCTGCAATGGAATTCCTGAATGTACATATACGACAGCTTTGCGGAATAAAAAACGGGAATCTTTGTAGGATAAATCCCTGGAAAGTAAAAGCATGCGGTGTCTTCCAGGAAAGGCTAGTTGGTGAGGTCGGTGTGCCGAGTGCATATGGGGCAGAGGCCGGAGAGATCGGGGCTGAGTTTACAAGGATGCCTCGCGGGCGCCGGCGGGAAGAACTCGGGGGTGCAGAAGGGGGTTAGTGAGGAGTCCGCAGTCACCAGCCGCGGCGAGGAGGAGGGCCCGGATGGGGTGGTTTAACCTGGTTCGGGGCGGAGGCGAGAGGGGTGGCTGGCCAGTGACAAGGCAGACCCCAGAAACACTGACGAGGTGGGCTCAACCGAGCTCGGAGTCTGGCACCACACGCGAGGCTCGGGGTGAGGGGCGGAGAGAAGGCGCTTCCGGAGCGCGGGGCCGCCTTGCAGCCCAATTAGGATTTGGGATTGTTTTATCCTCCCTCTGAGGGAGGCCGAAACCTGATCCTTCAGTCCGGGGGGGCCCCGTTAATGTTTCATCAGGTAGGATCGTCCGATGGGGCTCGGGTGGCGTGATCTCCACCGCCCGGGCGTCGTGCCCCCACATCCCAAAAGGTTTCCCCCGGGGCGTGGAGACGCGCGCGGCTGCAGGGGGCGCAGCGCCGCTCAGCCGGGGTCCGACCCAGGAGGAAGGAGCCAGGCAGTGAGACCGCCCGGGGCCAGGACGCGTGGCCGCAGAGGGCAGCCCCCGGCCCGGAGCCCCGCGACCCTTCGCGTGCGAGTCCCTGCCGCGTCCCGAGCTCCCGCGAACGCACGGTGCCCCCGACCGCAGGGCACAAGGCGTGGACTGCGCGCCAACCCCGGGTTGCCCCGCCAGGACGCACACCTCTCTTCTCCGGCAATGGGCACGGGCGTCTCCGGGCAGTGGTGGCCGCCGCTGCTGCTGCTGCTGTTCCTGGGCCCCGCGGGCGCCCGCGCGCAGGAGGACGACGACGGCGACTACGAGGAGCTGGTGCTTGCCTTCCGGTCCGAGGAGGACGGCCCGGCCGAAGCGGCCCAGCCTGTGGCCACCGCCACCTTCCACCGCTGCGCCAAGGTGCGGGCGCCGGGGCAGGAGGCGGGGGCGAACACGCCGCGGGGACCCGTGCGGTTGCCGTCTCTTCTCCAGCCTCAGTTTCCCCCGTCTAAGGGAGAGGCAAGAGAGAAGGTGTCCGAGGGCCCTCTGCTCGCCCGGCGACGGGCTTGGCGCGGATCTTGGGGACTGCAGGCGCCGGTGGAGGGGGTCGAGGGGTCGGGGACGGCGGCTCTGAGGGGGTGCGCTGGGGCGCGCGGCCGCGCTGTGCCGCGGGGAGGTGCGCGTGGGTGGGAGACCCGGGGGCGCGAGACAGCGCGAGCAGAGCGCTCCCAGGACCGCCTGCGGATTTCAGAAGTCTGCACCACCGTGGCTCCCGCGGATAAAGGCGGTGATGCCTGGAAAGCGCTTGGCACAGCACCGGGAACGGAGGGGACACGCTTGCTGTTATTATGCGTCCTGACGTGGTACGGGGAATCTGGGCGGTGGAGGGTGTGTGGAGGGAAGAGTGTGTGGGGGTGGGGATGGGAGTCTTGGAGAGACGGCACTGTCGAGACAGGGGTGGAGTGGGGGAGACGGCAAAAGATAGGGGTGGGGGGCAATTTCTTCAAATATGAGCAGAACTCATATTCTAGTACTGCAACTTTTTCAGCTGAAAAAAACAAAACGAAAGGGGAAGAGGCTGAGTTATTCTCGAGGCCCGCTGGGGCACTTGGGGCTCGGGCCGACGAGGGTCGCTGGTGCTCCTCTGGCTGGCGCGCCTGGTCCCCGGACCCGGAGGCTGAGCCCCAGGCCACAGCCCGGCGCGGGTGGGCCGAGCGAGTTTCCCGGAGATCGAGGCCGGTTCCCGGCCCCAGGGCTGCGCGAGCTCCTGCCCAGGGCCGGGGATCGTGGTTCCCTCCGCTGACAACCTTCCCGGGGCTCTGCCGAGGGCCGCCTGGCCGGGCTTGGGGTCCGAGCTGGGGCTGAATCCTGGCTCAGGCCCTCGCTCTGCCGCGTGGGGCCGTTAACCGGCCGGAGAGGGAGGGACCGCCGGTCCTCAGCCCGCCTCCCACGGGGCAGTGACGATTACTCTGTCAAAGCGCCCTCTTCCTGGTTCCCGAGCCTTTCACCTTCCAGAGAGATGTGGCTGGGTTGTGGCAAGGATAAGAAAGGGCATTTCAAGTCACCACTGCCCCAAAATAACTGTTGTAGAAGTCGTGAGTACCCGCTCCTGAGAGGTGAGGAAGGGGAGGAGGGACCACCACCTAAGCCAGCGCTTGACTGTATTTCTCAGCTGGTGAAGTTTGGAACAGGAACCTCCAGAAGTTCATGTAGTCGTTCATTCAACGGATATTTTGTGGGAATTGAATTTAGAATGAAAATATTTTCAGCAGGCAGAGAAGGATTTTAGACCAATCCTTTCATTTTACTCATGAGAAACTGAGGCCCAGAGAGAGGGGTTCGCTCCCTTGGTGCATTAGAAGGAGGCTTCCCGGAGAACTCTCCTTCCACTGCGCAGAGTGCCCTCTCAATTTGTTAGATTTTCATTTAGCGGAGGGCATTTTAGATGGGCCTTTGAAGCCTAAATAGGAGTTTAACAAATGAAGGTGGCAGGGGAATTTTATTCTAGAGAAGGGGGTAGCATGAATAAAAGCACAGAGCTTGGAAGACCAGAGGTAGAGAATAGGGAGCACATGTCCACAGTCGCTTATCCGCCTTCTGAAATGTAAAATGTTCCAAAAACCAAAAGGTTTTTTGTAGTTTAGTTGGTGGTAACCTGACCTGAACTGACATGAGGTTATTTATAATTTACTCCACCTTTGTGAATATTCATATTCGTATATTCTGCTGCATAGATTACAGGATGCTGCTCCAGACTTCTCTAAGCACTTTGATTGCCCATTACTACCTTTCTAAAATCCAAGTAAATGATGAATCATGAAAGCCATTTGGCCCTAAGACTTTGGATAAAGGTTGTGGACTCTCTTCTACTGTGGCTGGAGTCCGAGGTGCACGTGTAGAGATGACGCTGCCGAGGTAGAGGCTGCAGGGACCAAGGAGGGGCATGGAGTTTGGACTCTATCTGCCAGGCTGTGGGGAGCTAGCGAGGGTTCTGGAGCAGGCGTCTCTGTTTGAGAGCAGTAGGAGAGAGAAGCGCTACGAGCAAACAGTCTGCTCCTATAGACTGCGGCCTTGAGTCTCCTCTCCCGTTTGAGAAGGCTGCCCTTGCTCACTCCACTATCCCTTCAGTTTGCATTTGCCGAGCCCAAGCCTGGGTGCTTTACACGGCCGCCTCTCTCAGCCCTCCCAGCAGGCCTGTGCCATCGGTGTTACGGTCCCCACAATACAGAGGAGATATCTGAGGCTCAGAGAGGTTGGGTCACTTGCCCATGGCCACACAGCCAGTAACTATTAGAGTTGGGATTCAGGTCCACGTTTTTTGGACTGCCTCCAGAAGGGTCATGGAGGCACTAGAATAGGGAGGAAGTGATTTATTCTGATTAGGGCCCAGGGGAGGGAGGTGTAACTAGGAAGGCCTCCGGGAGGGGGTGGCATTTGGGCAGGGCCTCCAGGTGTGGACAGGCCTGGGCCGGGCCCACAGAGAGCTAGTGCAGGGGCAGAGGAGCGCCTGTTGTGGAGTGTAGCCCGCGGGCCCCGTTTCTTCCTGACTGCCACATTCGAAAGTGATGTATGGACTATGTAATACCAATAATTGGCCTATATGTGGGGCTTTCGTTTGTCTTTTAGTCCTAATTTGGTAACTTCTCTGTATAGTTTCTATGCTCTGTCGTGTTTCTTTTGCTGTAGTTCTGATTTGTGAGTAGCGATGAGTGAAGTTCATGTGTATTACTATTACTATTTTTGAATGTCATCACATGGCTCCTCCTTGCGCGGGGCCAGGATGCTTGGAGGCTGCCGGGCACCTACGTGGTGGTGCTGAAGGACGAGACCCACTGCTCGCAGCCGGAGCGCACCGCCCGCCGCCTGCAGGCCCGGGCCGCCCGCCGGGGCTACCTCACTAAGATCCTGCACATTTTCCACGACCTCTTCCCTGGCTTCCTGGTGAAGATGAGCGGCGACCTGCTGGACCTGGTGAGCCACCTTGCTGGGCATGGCACTTCCTGAAAGGGCTGGGCCCTGGCAGACATACCAGGGACTGTCCTTAGTGTGCCCATGGGTGAAAATCGGGTGACACCAAACATTTATGGAGCACTTACTGAGTACCAAGCGTAGTGACTCCTGGCTTTATGTACAGAATGCCCTTTAAGCCTAGCCATACCCCAATGGTATGTTCATCTTCATTTGAAAGATGAAGAGACTGAGGTTCAGAAGGGACCGCAGAGCTAGCTAGGCGCAGAGCCGGGATTAAACCTTGTGGTCTGCCTGTTAGCTGTCTTTGTGCTGATGCACCTGCTGCCTGTGGGAACCCTACAGGGACAAGGCCCTGAGACATTAGTGGAGCCTGAGGCATTTTACAACGCATGACTCAAGGGTCCAAAATTCCTTTGAAGTTGACGCTATTCAGTATAAAGATCCTCCTGTAGGACAGGGAGTCTCCTCTCCCTCCAGCTTGGCCCCCATGTCACCCCTTTGGCAGAGGGGCAGAGAGGGGCCTGGGTCGCTGAGGACTTCCAGCCTTCCCTCTCCTGTCCCTGGTCCTCGTGCCTCAGATGTAAATCTTTTTTTTTTTTTTTTGAGGAAGATCAGCCCTGAGCTAACATTCATGCTAATCCTCCTCTTTTTGCTGAGGAAGACGGGCTCTGAGCTAACATCTATCGCCAATCCTCCTCCTTTTCTTTTTTTAGCCCCAGTAGATAGTTGTATGTCATAGTTGCACATCCTTCTAGTTGCTGCATGTGGGACGCGGCCTCAGCATGGCCGGAGAAGCGGTGCGTCGGTGCGCGCCCAGGATCCGAACCCAGGCCGCCAGTAGCGGAGCGCGCGCGCTCTTAACCGCTAAGCCACGGGGCGGGCCCCAGATGCAAATCTTAAATGCCTTCCTTGGTTTGGCCTCTGCCCCCTTCGCCCAACCCACCTCCGTCCGTGTTCTCCTAACTGGATGAGGACACACGGCTCCCGTTGTCACGCTGATCCTCCACTGGGCCAGCTGCTGCACGGCTCCCTGCAGACACCGAGGCCCGGAGTGGGACAGGGTCTCGCCCGAGGTCACACGACATGTGGGTGGCAGAGCCAGCGTTTGGACCCAGGCCTCCTTGCTCCACCGCACCACTGCCGCCTGGTGAAATTCAGTCCTCCACACAGGGCACACACAGTCGCTTTGTGCCACGTCCTGTGGGGCGGTGACATGGATGGGACAGGGTCCCTGCTCTCAGGGTCCCTTAGTCTATTGGGAGTGACAGGCAAGTAAATGCCTTCAACCAGCCTTCTCAACACACAGTAAGCACCTACTGTGTGCTGCAGATCCGAGGATGAGCCAGCCCCAGCCCTCGCCCTTGAGCTCATAGTTCTGAAGGAGAGCCTGAGAGGTGACGTGCTGAGCACAGTGGGGCAGGAACGAACATGATAACGAACGGTTATCATGATTTGCGCCTGGAGTCTGGGTCCAGCCTGCCCAGGGCCTTGGCACTGCCTGGCTCCCCAGATGACACGTCAAATTCAGGACTCTTCCTAAAAGGAACCCTCTGTGCCGTGCGGCATTGGGCTTGGCTGCTGAGGTGTTGGAGCGCCGTGCTCCCCAGCCTGGCGGGGGAGTGAGGCAACCCCGGCACCAGGAGGGAACCTGGAGGGGGCGGGTGCTGGGTGTGACTGGAGTCAGGTTTGATCGGGTGGGGCAAGGGCTGTGGTTGTGTTTGCTGTCGGCCAAATGGCGCTTGAAGCAGAGGCCCCTGGCCTCTCTGGCCTCTGCAGGCCCTGAGGTTGCCCCACGTGGAGTACATCGAGGAGGACTCCTTCGTCTTCGCCCAGAGCGTCCCGTGGAACCTGGAGCGGATCACACCTGCGCAGCACCGGGAGGATGAGCGCCGCCCCCCCAGTAAGGCCCCAGCTGCCCCTGCCCCCTCCACTCAAGCTGAGTCCACCTGGCGCCCTCTCCTCCCTGCCGGCCGTGCTCACCGCTCAGGGGCCTCAGAGCTCAGCGGACTCCGCTGACCCCTTTTCTGTCCCATTCCTCCTACAGTCCCCTTCCTGTTGCTCCAGGTAGAATGCAGGAGTCTCTCCCTAAATGGCCGCTCTTCCACGTTCTTTTTTTTTTTTTTTTGGTGAGGAAGATCAGCCCTGAGCTAACATCCGTGCTAATCCTCCTCTTTTTGCTGAGGAAGACCGGCTCTGAGCTAACATCTATTGCCAATCCTCCTCCTTTTTTTTTTTTTCCCCAAAGCCCCAGTAGATAGTTGTAGGTCATAGTTGCACATCCTCCTAGTTGCTGTACGTGGGACACGGCCTCAGCATGGCCGGAGAAGCGGTGCGTCGGTGTGCGCCCGGGATCCGAACCCAGGCCGCCAGCAGCGGAGCACGCGCACTTAACCGCTAAGCCACAGGGCCGGCCCTCTTCCACGTTCTAAAAGTCTGGAATCACTGTGTCAGTGGGCCACGCTCCCTCCCGAGGCTCAGGAGGAGAATCCGTCCTTGTCCCTTCCAGCTTCTGGTGACCAGAGGGTCCCTTGGCTGTGTCTGCATCCCTCCCATCTCTGCCTCCCTCTTCACGTGGCCTTCTCTCTGTGTGTGTCTCTCCTCTTCTGTCTCTTATGAGGACACTTGTCACTGGATTTATGGCCCCCCTGGATAATCCAGGGTGATCTCATCTGGAGATCCTTAACTTAATCACATCTGCAAAGACTTTTTTCCCAAAGAAGGTCACAGTCACAGGTCCTGGAGGTTAGAATGTGGACACACCTTCTGGGGTCCACTGCACTCTCCCAGGCCAGAAGCAGACATTGCGCCCTCTCCTCCCCCACTGGGATGCCCATGGATTGCCTTCCTCCTCCCGTGCTCCCAGTGGTCGTGGGCAGTGGCCGGAATGGAAAGCAGGAGTGTGGAGCCCATCTGGAGTCGCAGAAGGGCCCGGCTGGACGAGGAGCTGTTGGCCTGGGGTGGGGCAGAGCTCAGCAGGTAGTGGCGAGTGGGCTTGCCAGGCCAGCAGCAGGCCTTTCCTTCACGAGGAAGCCACATGGCACAGGGCGGACAGGCACAGGCTCTGGGGCTGACTGCCACACTCAAACCCAGAGTTCAGCACTCAAGCTATGTGACCTCGGATAAGTCACTGACTCTCTCTGAACCTTGGTTCCTCTGCGGAAGGGAGGTGATGATAGTTCCTCCCTCGGGGGCTGTTTGAGGGTCATGCTCTCTGGCATGGCAGGCTTTCACCTGCGTCTGGGGTATATTGAGAGTGCCGGCATGTCGGCCTTCTCCTGTCTCTTCCTGCATTCCACAAGTTCTCGAGCAGCCGCTGTGCTCCAGGCACGCTGCTGGGTGCTGGGGATACCAAGATGGATAAGATGGACTTGGCTCTCCTCCCACAGAGCATCTAGTTGTGGAGAAGTTGATCTGTTACTTAAACAGCCACTCGACACTAATCAGTTCCCGCGGGGGTAGGAGCTGTGAGGAGGTCCAGGCAGCGGCGGGCGTGTGTCAGAGCAGACCCACTGACTGCTGAGGGGTCTGGGAAGGCTTCCTGGAAGAAGTGACTTTCAAGCCAAGACCTGCAGCGAGGATCTTAGCCACACAAAGGGGAGGGTGTCCACGCAGAGGGATGAACCTGGACAGAAGCCCTGGGGCAGGAGGGAATGCGGCTGATGAGGAAGGGGCGAGAAGGCCGTGGCCAGGGGCCACGGGTTGGCGAGACTGGCGGGGCCTGGGCCTTGCTGCAGTCTGAGCTTCTCAGGCACATCAGGGCCTGCCTGGTGAGAAGGAGCGAGCTCCTCGCTCTAGAGGTATGCAAGCAGGACTGGGCATCCACCTGCCAGAGGCCACAGAGCTTCCTGCACCAGGCCAGAGGCTGGATGAGGCCATTCCAAGGTCCTCTTGCCCCTGAGAGTGATAGCTCCTCTTGAGGCCACTTTCCCCCTCTGTGACACAGGACAGCCATAGTCCCCACCTCACATTGGGGCTGTGAGGATAGAGCGATGGCTTCTAGGAAGGGCCCAACAGGCACTGTGTCCCGTCCAAGCTGGGCCCCTGCCCTTCCTGGCTTCTCACTGGAAGCCCCAGGATCCTGCAGGTGCCTCTGGCTCGTGCTTTGCTCAAGCTGCGGAGGGCGTGGTGGGGGCTGTGGTGGGCTCCGTGCCGGGAGCCTCTCATCTGGCAGCATCTCACCAGGAGCTGCCCCTCTGCCAGGACCACCTGCCCGTCGGCCCTGCTCAGAGCCCCCGTCCCTGTGCCGCGGGTCAGCAGGCTGGGGCGAGCTGGAAGGAACAGCTCTTCTCCAGTCTGTGAGGAGGGCGACAGCTGCCTCCCGGAGCCCGGAACCTCCCCTGGGGCCACACCCCAGGCCCTTGCCAAGCTCAGCTCGCGGGTGACCTCACACTGGTCACTTCACCTCGCAGCGGCCCAGTGACAGCTCCTGGAGCAGACGGTGGTCCTGGGCATGAGTGGGCTGAGGAAGGACCCTCGCCTGGGTTGACGCAACAGCCCCCTCAGCCTTCTCCTCACCCGCCGCGAGCAGCACGGGCTGAAGCTTGCCCAGCACGCTCTCCGGGATGTGCGTCCTGTGGAGGTTAACATCTACGGGCAGAGACAGCCCTTTTATTCCCCCGGGCTATCTGTGATGCACCATCTCTCCCGCCAGCCTGGGAGCTCTGAGGGCAGACACCGGGCTGCCTGAGCATCTGTGTCCCCAGCAGCCAGCCCGGCCATGGCTTACGGTCCTGCACCATCTGGCTGCTGCCCACCTCGCCGGCCTCATCCCGTGTCTGCCTCCTTGACCTTCCACAGCCCAGCTCAGTATCTCGTGGTTCCTCTAGGGTGGCCAGCGCCCTCTGGCCTCCAGATGTCCTCAGGTCTGAGCTCAGAGCCCTCTTCGCCCCACCTCTCCCCAGCGTGGCACCTGGCACCTGATAGGTGCCCAGTGATGAATGAAAACTACCAGCACGCTCGGGAAGGGAGCTGAGGTGCCGCAAGCAGCCCGACTCGTCCTGCATCCTGGGAGGGGCTGCAGACCGCTGGGCGGACACTCAGCTGGATGCAGAAGTAAGCAGAATGCTCACGGGTCCTGACCAGCGGAGGTTCCTGCCGAGGCTGGAGGCCGTGGGGCCGGGTGGGCAGTGTGCGCACAAGCCATGGGCCGGGGCTGACAGCGGAGGCCAAGCCCAGCTCTGGCTCTTCACCTAAGAAGTGACATGGTGTGGAGAGAAGACGCTGGACAGGGGGCTGACCTGGCCTGACCTCAGAGCTGCCACTGAACTGCTCTGTAGTGGGCTGAATGGTGGCCCCCAAAGACATGTCCACTCAGAACCTGCACATGTGACCTTATTTGGTAAAAAGATCCTTGCAGATGTAATTAAGGATCCTGAGATGAGATCATCCTAGATTACCCAGTGGGTTCTAACCCCAATGACAAGTGTCCTTATAAGAGAAAGGCAGGGGGAGATCTGAGGCACGCGGAGGGGAAGGCGAGGTGAAGATGAGGCAGAGATGGGAGTGATGCAGTCACAAGTCAGGGAAGCTGGCAGCCACCAGAAGAAGCTGGAGGAGGGAAGGAAGGATCCTTCCCTCGAGCACTGGGGGGAGTGTGGTCCTGCCGGCACCTTGCTTTAGGACTTCAGGCCTCTGGAACTGTGAGAATCAGTTTCTGCTGTTTTAAGCTGCTGAGTTGGTGGTGGTTAGTTAGGGCGGCCTCAGGAAAGTGATACACGCTCGGGCCTCCGCCTCCTCCTCCTCCTCCTCTGTCCTGAGGTGAGAATATGGACGTTTCTGAGGTTTTCTGCAGCAGCCACAGAGGTGCTGCTCAGAGAGGAGTGACTGACAGCCCCCAGGGCCCGCTTCTCCTGGCTTTCTCCGGGGCTGTAACTCATGTCGGTTGGAAACAGCCACTGGGAGCTGTCCTGGCACCTGGTGGAGAAGGCGTGGACTGGGAGCCAGGAGCCCAGACTCGGGCGCCCTCTCCCCGCCTCAGTGTCCCCTCTGTGAAAGCAGCTGGCCCGCTCAGAGGGCCAGACAGCCCTGCTGTGCTCCTTTTAGAGAAGTTGTTATTCTTCAGATCCTGTTGTGTCTCCCTTTCAGGCTCAGGGAGCTGTGAAAATTTAGAAATAGGGGCTTGGCTGATTTCATACCATTATTACTATTATTGTTTGAATGTTCATATTGTTTCATATTAATATTCGTATTATGGAGCCAGACTGCTTGGTTCTCTTCTGGGTTCCACCATTGCCAGTGGGGTGACCTCGGACAGTTCCTTACCCTCTCTATGCCCCACTGTCCTGTCTGTAAGACAAGGATATAAAGGTACGTCCTTCGAGAGGATTTTTTGAAGGTTGAATGAGTTAATATATTTAAGGTGCTTGGAGCAGCGCCTGGTTCGAGGCAGACAGTTTATATGTGTTAATGATGATGTTACCCCCATTTGTTCTCTCCTCTCCACAAGCAGCGCCCTGGAAGGATGGAGCCGGCCTGGTGAAGGTGTGTCTCCTAGACACCAGCATCCACAGCAGCCACCGGGAAATCGAGGGCAGGGTCACAGTCACCGACTTTGAGAATGTGCCCGAGGAGGACGGGACACGCTTCCACAGACAGGTGAGCACATCCCTCAGGCAGGGGGGCTGCCCCATCACTCACCCCCAACCTGGGGGTGGGGTGGTGACCGCCACCCCCCAGGCTGTCCTGCTGTCCTGGCCTCCCCAGCCATCACTGGCCCTTCTCTGCCATCAGTTGTGAGGTGGGGACGCCCCTCCAGCCCCTTGCAGTTATGTTACTGGGTGGTGGGCTCTCACACGGGCCTTGTGTTGGTCGAGCAGGCAAACAAGTGTGACAGCCACGGCACCCACCTGGCGGGCGTGGTCAGCGGCCGGGACGCTGGCGTGGCCAAGGGCGCCAGCCTGCGCACCCTGCGCGTGCTCAACTGCCAGGGGAAGGGCACGGTGAGCAGCACCCTCGCAGGTGAGTGACGGCTCCAGGTGCCGGGCTCTGTGTCGGGCCTGCGTGGGAGGCGGCTTCAGCCCAGAGAGAGGCAGAGGCAGCCTCTGTCCCAGAGCCACCGAGTCCCAGAGTGCCAGAGGGGCAGGGCTCCCAGAGGACATCAATGTAGGTGGAGAAACCGAGGCCCACACCGGGGCAGGGGTTCAGCCAGGTGGGTCGTGCGGCTTTGCCCCTGGGTCACTGGTCTTTCTACAGTGTCACACTGCTCCTCTTTTCACATACTCTAAACTAGTATGTCTTCCGTCACGTTATTTTAGATTCTGATGGGCCCTTGCAGAGAATGATAAGCAAACTTTCTCCACCTTCTGCTTGCTCACCTCTAACCCTAGGGGACCCCCTCTTTTCCGTGACTGATTGGGCCCTGAAGGTCACTCCGGCCAGGTGGACTTGGTGGAGGAACTGGCAGAGACTTTTCCAGACTCTTGCAGGTTTCTCCATCCAGTCTACCGGGTGGGCCTCTGGCGAGGTCCAGCGGAGAGCCAGGACCTTGGAGGCCGTGGACAGAGGAGAGGGCAGGAGCTCTCCCTCACTGAGTCCCTCCTGTGGCCAGACCTCGAGTGAAGGACTTTGTACACCACACCCTGAGGCCGGCATTGTGATAGCTGTGAAACAGTTGATGAAACCAGCCCAGAGAGGGGAAGTGACTTGCTCAGGGTCACACAGCTAGAGCTGGTGACCTCACTGGGAAAGGTGCTGGTGCTAAGCTTGACCTCCACCGCAAGCCCCCAGGCCCGGGGGTCCGACGCGAGCTCCTGGGCCGCAGAGGCAGCCGCGGGCCTGACTGAAGGGCTGAGAAGGCCAGGCGCCCGCCTGGTGCTGGGGAGCTCTGCCCTGATTCTTTCCTGTTCAGAGCACGGGTTCTGATCAGTTTTAAAGGCGAGAATCAATCCCCCCGCCCCATCAGGCGACCCCTGTCCCACCTCCTTATTGACCGACCTCCGCTCAGCAGGCCAGCTCCCAAAGGTCAGAGTGCGGAGGAGGGGAGGCCTGCGCGTGCCCCGAGAGGCCTTCCCCAGGCCGGGCGCCCTGGCCTCGGGGTGGCTTCCTGGGAAGCTCAGGTGCCGCTTTGAGGCCCTCATCATTGCGTCAAAAGCACTAGCACGTAACCTGGTGCTCAACGAACAGGAGCTGTTGCTTTCATCCTCATGGCCAGTGACCTCTGTGAGCAGATGATGAGGTAAAGCGTGTCAAGTGTGGGCACGGAAATATGTATACAGCAGGTGCTTAATAAATGGCCGCTGTAATTGTGGTTGTCATTCTTCACTTCCACTCCCAGGTGTCTCCTAGGAGGAGTGTGGCTGTGGGACCCCAACTCCCACCTCTGCCATCCACAGCCCAGGGGATGTCCCAGAGGCCCAGATCCAGAAGGTTCTGAGAGGTCAGCCAGCCATACCCCCATCTGACAGCGCAGAGCAGGAGCTGGAGCCTGGGAGGAGAAGCCCGTGAGGGACAGAGCCAGTGTCAGAATCCAGGCCTCCACCCGGCCGAGTTCACGGCTGCACACTCGGCTCTGAGACGAGGAGCAGAATCAGCCTCGGTCAGAGGAAGGACACCCTCAGGGGTGCAGGCTTATCGAGCCCCCAGCACCAGGGCGGGGAATCTTTAATCCTTGTGACAACCCCGGACCAGTTGTCTCGTTTCACAGAGAGGTGGGGGTCACCCAGCTGTGCATGGGCAGTCAGGACTCGGGGTTCATGTGGGGCCGAAGCTCTGAGTCAGGCAGGTGGGCCTCTGTGCAAAGAGGATTGTGAGGGTCAGCGAACGGGCACAGGAGGCCCTTCTTGTTCCTCTGAAGACCGTTCTTATCCTCTCAGTGTTCTGGAAAGGAATAATAATAGTGCTATTGTGAGGAGCCTATACGTGTAAGTTCCTATATTCGGGCACTTAGCAAGATCCTGGCATATGGCCGTTCTCGGGAGCGGCCGGTTGTATCAGTGCTGCTGTTGTTAACACACTTCCCATGTGTGTTAGTCAGGGTTCTCCAGAGAAACAGAACCAAGGAGAGGTGTGTGTGTGTGTGTGTGTGTGTGTGTGTGTGTGTGTGTGTACGTGTATATACACATACATAGTGAGAGATTTATTTTAAGGCATTGGCCCACATGATTGTGGGGGCTGCTGAAATCTGCAGGGCAGGCTGACAGGCTAGAAACTCTGGCAGGAGTTGATGTGACAGTCTTGGGTCTGAAGGCGGTCTGGACACAGAATTCCTTCCTCCTCAGTCTTTTCTCTTAAGGCCTTCAACTGATTGGATGAGGCCCACACCCATTCTGGAGGGTGATCTGCTTTACTTAAAGTCTCCTGACTTAAATGTTTATCACATCTATAAAATACCTTCACAGCAACAGTTAGGCTGTGTGTGGCCAAACATCCAGGCACTGTAGCCTAGCCAAATTGACACATAAAATTAACCCTCACGCCATGCCTCAAGAGAGGGGCCGGGGGAAGGGGAGCATGACTCCCCAGGGGTGACCTAAGCTTTATCCTCTCAGGTCTGGAGTTTATTCGCAAAAGCCAGCTGGCCCAGCCTGCGGGGCGGTTGGTGGTGCTGCTGCCCTTGGCGGGTGGGTACAGCCGGGCCCTCAACGCGGCCTGCCAGCGCCTGGCGAGGACCGGGGCAGTGCTGGTGGCCGCTGCCGGCAACTTCTGGGACGATGCCTGCCTCTACTCCCCAGCCTCGGCTCCCGAGGTGGGTGCTGATGCCGCCGCCCCCAGAATGGAGGGGAAGGCAGGCTGGTGGGCCCCCTGTGAGCCCTGTGTGGTGTGTGCGGTCCTGGAGGCTGAAGGGCCCGGCTTTGGAGGGAGTTGTCAGAGACCCCGGGGCAGGGGAGGGCCTGGAACCCCCACCGTCCTCGTCTGTGCACCACCGTCCTCAACTCTCCCCTCCCCCCATGCCCTGGCCACTGTCCCTCTGAAAGTCTCCTGAATCCCCCCGCCCCTTCTCCCCATCCACGTGACCTCAGTCCTCAGTGCTGCTGTTCCCTGGGTTGACCTCTCTCCCCTGTCCCTCTACTCCTTCTCCCAGGACCCCCGGTAAGGCCCAGGGGCTTGGCCTACAACTCACACCTGCCCACATCACTCTCCTGCCCAGTACCCTCGGGGCCTCCCCACTGTCCAGCCCCGCCCCCCATAAGCCCCCTGATCAGGTCCTGCATGACTGGCCCCAGCCCGACACCTGAGCGAGGCTGATGAGATTTGGAGGCGCTGAGGGCCCAGAGTGGCTCACTGCGTGCCCAGCCGTTGGTGCGTCCCAGGCAGTGGGGCTGTGAACCTTGAGACTAAACCTGTGCCCTGGAGGGACTGACAGCCTGGTGGAGCTGTGCCCGTCCATTCTTCAAACCAACATGCGGGGCACCCACTGGGGGTTGGGCAGTCTGGGCACTGGGGGTACCAGGGGAAGGAATCCCACCCTGCTTCAAGGGCTTCCCAGGCTGGGGGTGTGTTGGGGGCAGGGAGGGCACAGATGTGAGCCCCGCGGTGATAACCTTCCCTGGCTGCCAAATGTAAAGCTGTGTGAAGCAGACAGAACCCAGCGTGTCCTCCCCCCCTCGGCTGCTCTCTTCTCCACAGCACTGACAACCACCCGATGCTCTGAATAGTCCACCGTTTCTTTCTTTATTGTCTGTCTCCGTACTAGAATGGTGCCTGGCGTATGTATGGTAGGGACAGAGGGCAGTACCAGGGCCAGGTGGGTGGCCTGGTGGAGTCAGATTTCCCTCAGGAGGGGGTATTTGAATGGGACTCAAACAGGTAGATAGGAGTTAGCCGGCTCAGCTGGCAAGGTCTCAGTCTGTCCCTATGGACCCTCCTCTATCTGCCATCCACCCCCTCACCTCTCCAGGTCATCACGGTTGGGGCCACCAATGCCCAGGACCAGCCAGCGACCCTGGGGGTCCTGGGGACCAACTTTGGCCGCTGCGTGGACCTCTTTGCCCCAGGGGATGACATCATTGGTGCCTCCAGTGACTGCAGCACCTGCTTCACATCCCAGAGCGGGACGTCGCAGGCCGCTGCCCACGTGGCTGGTGAGTTGTCGCCCCGTTGCCTCAGCCAGCGTGATTCTCACAGCCCCTTTTGGCGGCAGGGTCTGCACCAGGACCCCATGTGCCAGGCTCTCTGCTGAGCATGGGGGACCAAAGGCAAGTCAGAATGATGGTGCCCTCCAGGACCCTCAGTCTGATGGGGAGGCGGGTGCACACACAGAAGGAACACAGAGTAGGCAGGGCTGTGTCGAAGGGAACCCAGAGGAGGCACTTGGCCAGCCTGTAGGTCAGGGAGGCCTTCCTGGAGGAGGGACATTTGATGTGGGGTTTGGTGGAGGAATGGGAGTTTACCTAGCAACTACCAAGGCCCAGAGGTGTGACAGCAGGATGTAAGATGGTCTTACTGTTTGGCCCTCGCTTGGCCTGGGATCGCAGGTGGTTTAACTTCTGGAACAATAGCGTGGTGTGTCCGTGCACGTGCACCTGTGTGTGGGTGTGTGTGCATGTGGACCAGGAGAGGAGTCCCAGGTCGGGAGGAGGGCCAGGCCACCACCATCTCTCACTGCCCGCCCCACCGCCAGGCATCGTGGCCATGATGCTGACCACCGAGCCGGAGCTCACCCTGGCCGAGCTGAGGCAGAGGCTGATCCGTTTCTCTGCCAAAGGCGTCATCAACGAGGCCTGGTTCCTGAGGGACAGCGCGTGCTCACCCCCAACCTGGTGGCCACACTGCCCCCCAGCACCCGAGGAGCAGGTCAGCAAGATGGCAGGGTGGGCGGAGTCCAGCCTGGGTGGGGGAGCTTCCTGGAGGTCCGCATGGCCTTGGCAGTCGGCCCCTCCCTTGTCAGTGGGAGGATTCTACCTCCACCTTCTCGAGACGGGGAGAGCAGGGTCTGAAACGGCTCTGCGAGGCTTTTAGAACATGTTCAAATGGAAAAAATGGATCGCGTTCTTTTAACCCCCCTCCCACACCACGAGCAAAGACGCGAGTCCTCTGTGAGCAGAGCCCCGACGGGAGCTCCCCTCCCGCAGCCCCCTCACCCCGGGGCCTTGTTGCAGGACAGCGTGGTCGGCGCACTCGGGGCCCACGCGCAGGGCCAGGGCCGCGGCCCGCTGCGCCGAGGAGCTGCTGCAGCTTCTCCGGGAGCGGGCGCCGCCGGGGCGAGCGCATCGAGGTGACCTGCACTCCCGCCGGCTGCGAGTGTCCGCGCATGACGGGGCGGGGGGGGCTGCTCCCAGGCCCAGGCCAGCCCGAGCCCTCCGCCACCCCGCAAGCCTCGGTCCTCTGACCCCGCAAGCCTAAAGGGTTGGGCTGGCGCGGGGCGGGGGCACCTCTCACGTCCCGCGGTTGGGGGCTGCTGGAGGGAGCCGCGCTGGGGTCCCCGGGACACTGCAGGACGGCCGGTCCCAGTGCCCGCCGGGGCGGGAGGGGGAGGCAGCGTGTGTGCCAGGGGCGCGCTGCCTCTGGACCCCGTGGTCCCCAGGGCCCTTCTCACTCAGATGTCTCGTGTCTGGCAGTTGAGAAATCTCAAACCAGCAAAAGAGGAGAACTGACGCTGAGGCCCCAGGGCGTGGCCCAGATGCCGTCTGGCCGCGGCGGGGTGGTGGCAGGGCAGGGCGGGGCGAGCGGGCGGCGTGTCCGCCCGGAGACGGCGTCGGGAGCGCGCAGGCCTGCTCAGGGAGGCCGAGCGGAGGGGCTGAGCGGGCGGGGTCCCTGCGCGGAGCCTCGGGTTTCTCCGCATCCGCATCGTGAAGCCCCCCGCCCCGGGCGTCCAGAAGCACGTTAGGACGTGCAGAGCTGCCCGTCTCCAGAGCGTCTGCCCTGGGCAGCAGTGAGCCCCTTGTCCCCAGGAGGGGCTGCCTGGCCCCTGGCGGGGCCACTGGAGGGGGTTTGTGCCTGAGTGGGTCCCTTCGCCCCCACCCTGGGTTGTGAAGCCCTCTCTGAAGCAGGTCCCCTTTCTGTCTTTGGCCCTCAGAGCCGAGGGGGCAGGCGGGTCTGCCTGGCCCACAACGCGTTTGGGGGTGAGGGCGTCTACGCAGTGGCCGGGTGCTGCCTGCTGCCCCGAGCCAACTGCAGCGTCCACACAGCTCCGCCAGCCCGGGCCGCTGTGGAGACCCACGCCCGCTGCCGCCCGCAGGGCCACGTCCTCACAGGTAGGAGGCCGGGCCCGCGCCACTGGCCCCACGCTGGAGCCCGACTGCCCCGACGCCCTGTGACCCAGCAGGCGCGCTGTCCTCTCAGCCTCAGCTTCCTCCTCCCTGAGAGGAGGAGGGAGGACCTGCCTTGTTGGGTGGCCATGAAATGGGTCAGGCCCAGAGCACCAGGCCTGGAGCCTCGCGGGCAGCCCGACAGGCAGTGCAGTGCGGGAGAGGCGGTTCAGGGGGCAGCTCAGAGGCCGGACCTGAAAGTGCAGCTGACCTTGGTTTAATCCTGGCTCTGCCAGTCAACAGCCGTGTGACCCAGGTAAATTGACCTCTCTGTGCCTCAGGTTCCTCAGCAGTAAAATGGGGATGATGGGTGCTAAGCACCCGGCGTGGTGCTGGGACAGTGTAAATGCGGACTGTTGTGATCATCATCTCACTCATTGCTTTAAAATCCACTCTCTGATGTAGGTAACTATAGATCGGCCACCTTGAGTCAAAAACATGCCCTGGGCAGGTAGCGCGGAGTCACAGGTGGGGACCTTGGGGGTCCAGGGAGGGGGCCCCTCAGGTTGGGGGAGGCTGAGCCGTCCTGCTTGGATGGAGCAGGGGATGTCCTGGGAGAGTCTGGGGAGACGGTGGACTAATTGGCCCAGGAGCTGCTTCTCCATTGAGTATGTACTGGGGAGCCACTGAAGGTTTAGGAGCAGGAGGGTGACGAGTTAGGACCTGGCTCTGGGAAGAGCAGACGGTGAGGCATGCAGGATGGATTTGCAGCAGAAAGACGAGCCCAGTCAGGTGGCTGGTGCCCTTGTCCAGGGACGACACAGGGCCACATGCCGTGGCCATGCTCCGCACTGGGGCCTGGCTCGTGGGCAGTCCACGTGTTCCCATCGCTCTCCCTTTCGGGAGCGCCCGGCAGAGAAGCTCCAGGGCACGTGCCGGTCTGCAGTCCGGGGGCGCACACCTCACTGCCTGCGCGGCCCTCCCAGAAGAGGCCCATCTTACAGCGAAGGGCACCGCACCCCAGACACGCTGAGGGACTTCCCCAAGCCACACGATCAGGACACGGGGGACGCGAGGAACCGTGACCCCAGCACGTCCGCAGGCGTGCCCTGTGCCTGGCGCTGTGCTGGGCTTCCCGTGCACATGGCCGTTCCATCTGCACAGCCTCCCTGTGCACACGTGCTCTTTCTGTTTTACATATAGGGAAACTGAGGCTTGGTGTAGCTGAGGAACCACTCCCGGAGGTCTCGTAGCCAGGGTGCCTGACTCACAAGCCCATGGAGGGAGGCCCCGAGTGCCCCAGAGAGACGTCAAGCTCACCCCTGAACTTCTGCCTGGGTGGCTGGGTGGGGAGGGGTCTGGGGGAGTCCATCTCCTTGTCTAGCATCTCAGCCCTTGGAGCCCCTTTCAGTGCTCCGCATCTTTGGGTGGAGAGGAGACGATCTTTTCCTTGAGAAACTAAGGCTCAGAGAGGTTGAGTGGCTTTCCCAAGGTCACACAGCAGGTCAGCAGCAGAGTTGAGTTGAGAACCCAGGAGTCCTGTCACTCGGGCCAGCATCTCTTTCCTCCCTTGACTTGTTTTGGGATTCCCAGCTCTGGCTCAGACCCTAAAGGGATGGAGTCTGATGTGGGTGGGAGGAGAGGCAGAGGGTGTCCCAGCATTCCAGCATCTGAGCTGGCCCTCCCCTACCCCAGGCTGCAGCTCCCACTGGGAGGCGGAGAACCTAGGCATCTCCAGGCGGCCTGTGCCAAGGCCCCGAGGTCAGCCCGACCAGTGTGTGGGGCGCAAGGAGGCAAGTGTCCACGCGTCCTGCTGCCGCGCCCCGGGGCTGGAGTGCCAAGTCAGGGAGCACGGAACCCAGGCCCTGCAGAGCAGGTGAAGAGGGGCGTGGGGGCGGGACGGGGTGGCCTGTGTCTGTCCTGTGCAGCTTTTCCATGTCAGCGTTTGTGTCACCACCACAGCCTCACGCGTCTGGGGGTGGTCTGGGGGGCGGATGCCGTCGGCAGCTTTCACAGCTGCGTGGACAGCACGCGTGTGTCTGCGTGTGGCTGGGCCCGTGCGTGCTCTTGTCCAGGTCAGTGAGGCACTCTCTGGGCGCCCTGCTCCCCCATGCGGAGAATATGCAGATATCACATAAAGCAAAGCACACACGCCTTTGTTGATTAACCCATTAACACCTGTGCTGGGAGGCTGCTCGGGGCCAGGGCCCCACTGGACTCTGGGGACACAGAGATGACAGTCCTGAGCCAGAGGAGGGGACGCCTGGGCTGAGTGCCGACGGCAGAGCAGCTGGCGTGGCCGACAAGGCGGGAGAGGGCAGGGGAGAGGGCACGGCGCACACAGGCCTGGGCTCGAGGGCAGACCCCGTCAGCTGCTGCCCCCGTGAGTCTCCTTTGAAAAGCCACAGGGAGCCCCTAACAGGAGGCCCTGGGGGCGCTCGTCAGTGAACTCAGGAGAGGGTTTGAGAGGCCCGAGACTGGCAGTTGTGGTCTCGGGTGGTGCGTTTCTGGAGGGTGAGGATGTCTCGGGTGCACTTCTGCAGCGCGTGTGGAGGGCTGCCGCCTTCCGGCCCCGTCGCAGGCATCTGGGACACAAACCCAACAAGCCCTTCTCTCCTGGAGCGCCCACTGGCGTGGGGAGAAGGACAGTACACAGACACACAATGTTACAGAGAACTTAGAAGATGCGGCAGAAAAAAACAGAGCAGGGGAGGGAGCGGCTGGTGCTCGGGAGGAGCCTCCCTGAGAAGGTGGAGGACATCCCAGGGAAGTGTTCCAGGCAGGGGGAGCAGCCAGGGCAAAGACCCTGAGGTGGGGGCGTGCCTGCAGGCACCGGGAGCAGACAGGAGGCCAGTGAGGTGGGAATCAAATGGGCGGGGGACCCAGAGAGGGGACAGGGCCAGATCAGGTGGGGCCTGAGGACCACGGTGGGGACTTTGGGTTTTGCTCGAGTGAATGGGAGCCACGCAGGGTTCTGAGCCCGGGGGGCCGTGATCTGACTTGGATTTGATCAGGCTCATTCTCGACACTGAGCTGAGAAGAGGCTGCAGGGGGCACGGGCAGAAGCAGGGAGACCAAAGGGCAGCTACGGTGACTGTCCCGGCCCAGGCCGTGGGGGCCCAGCCCAGGGGGCAGTGGGGGGCTCCTGGAAGCTGGAGGACGAGCCCACAGGTCTGACGGACTGGACGTGGGTGGGGGGAGGGGACGGTGATGCCCAGGTGTTTGCAGAGCTCCTGGACAGACTGCGTTGCACTGCCCGGAGCGGGAGGCTGTGGGGGCGGAGGGGTTGGGGGAAGAGGAGTCCGGTACAGGCGAGGTGGACATCGCTGGGCCCTCGAGGCTTGGGTCGTGGTGCCCCGTGCCATACGTGTGCTTTCTTCTTGTCCCTGGGCCCTGGCAGGTCGCCGTGGCCTGTGAGGAGGGCTGGACCCTGACCGGCTGTGGGGCCCTCCCTGGGGCCCTCCCCACCCTGGGGGCCTACGCGGTGGATGACACGTGCGTGGTGAGGAGCCAGGACGCCAGTGCCGGAGGCAGGACCAGGGAGGAGGCCGTGGCGGCCACTGCCATCTGCTGTAGGAGCCGGCCCTTGGGGGAGCAGGCCTCCCAGGAGTTCCAATGACAGCTCCCCGGACGCAGCCTGGGGACGGGGTCCGGGCCCGGGTGCTGTGGTCCCAGGCCTGGGCTGAGCTTTGAAATGGCTCCTCCTTTCCCCTCCTCAGCCCTCCTCAGCCTGGGCCCCAGGGGACAGAGGACACCTCTGCCTTCCTGGAGCTCTGGCGCTGGCACTCGGGGTGGAGGCCGCCCTGCCTGGGAGAGCCTGTTCCCTCAGCCTGGACCACGCCCTCCCCAGACCTGAGCTGGGGGGAGGCTGAGTGTAGCACGGCTGCGGGTGCTGGGCAGCCCCCCTCACTGCAGGGCTGGGCCTGGCACTCTGCTGTTATCGTGGGTCAGGCCGTGCCCAGCTTCCTGCCCGCTGCTCCGGCGACGCCAGCCCGTGGGCAGAATGGCCTTTTACTGAGCTCCCGCCACGCGTCAGGCAGGCAGTCCTCAGCCTCCACCAGGAGGCGGCAGTCCTCCCAGGGCTGGGCGAGGGGGCCCTGGAGGGTTGGCAGGGGCCAAATATCAGGCAGGGGAAGTGAGTGTGAAGGGTGGAGACAGCCCCTCACCCAATGCCCGCTTTGGGGAGGCCCCTGTGGTCTCCATGATTAGTGGAGACAGTTTTCCACGCCTCCGGGGCGCAGGGCGGATGGACACTGACAGGGATTCTCCCCCAGATCCGGCCAGCATTCAGAATGTCCAGAGTGCTTCTCCACCCGCATTCTCATGGGGTTTCAGAGCAGCCCCGGGACAAGGGCAGGGCCTCTTCTACCCATGGGTAGAATGAGCCCCTGGTCAGCTGCCAAGAGACCTCGGTACAAGTCCTTGCTCTTTCTCTAGAGACCTCCATCAGTCTCCACGGGCCTCCCAGTCCTGTGTTGGGACTCACCTCCGGGAAGACAGCTTTTGTTGATAAAATTCCTAGCTCTGTCCCCACCCCTGAGGCCCCAGCAGCGGCATGAGATCCAGCCAGAGGCTAGAGACAGGTCCCAAGTGATCAGGGGCTGTGCCTTTGTTTCTCCCACCTGCCCTCGCCCTGCTCTGGTCCAGGCTTTGCTATCCACCCGGCAGGGAAACATCACCCCAAGGCTGATTTCAGTCTGCAGTGGAGGGCCCCACAGTCGGTCCATTCAGCATTTCGCACCCCATCCTCTTGCCCACCCTGCACGGTACATATTGTCATCCTCACTTTAGGGAGGAAGAAACTGGGAACCAGAGATGAGGAGTGCCTGCGAAGCTCACACGGGAAAGTGAGGTGGTGCCAGGATATGAACCCAGAGTTGCCTCTGAAGCCAAGCCTCTCTTTACTGCACCGGGTCGGGCAGCCTGTCTATATAGGTAACACTGAGGCTCAGAAAGGGCACAGACCTGAGGTAGCACGTGAGTGAGGGCAGAGCACGGCGCGAACGGCACTGGCTGAGTCACTGTGACCCAGGTGCAGAGGCTGTCCGAAGATGGGGGGACAACTCTCCCTCCTTGAGCTCCCCCCGACCAAGCAAGCAAACAAGCATGCATTTATCTTTTTGTCTGTGTTTGTAAACAGCTCTCTCTGTTGCCTTTTTCTAGCAAGAAGCTTTTCTAGATCTGTTTTGCTTTTGTAACTTGAAGATATTTATTCTGGGTTTTGTAGCGTTTTTATTACATGGTGACTTCTTAAAATAAAAACAACTGTTGTGACTCTTGCCTGACTTTGTCCAGCATGATGCTTTGCTTATCCCAGCGCTCAAATGTCGAGTAAACAAAGCACTTGTCAAGGACTAATCCCTGTCCTAGGATAGGTCAGTGTCTCCCCACAGCTTCCCAGGTCCCCCGAGCAGGCAGAGGCCCCTCCTTGGTACCCTGTGCCTACTGCGTTCTAGATGCTGCCGTCCACGTCCACCCCTGAGGTCGGGGGCCCTGTGTCCTTTTCGTCCTCCTCTCCCTAGTACTGGCCCAGAGTCAACATTTAGGGAATGAGGTTGTACGAGTACCCGAGGCTTCTGTAATTGGTCAGTGCTATGTCCATAATCGTTTCTCATCATCTGAAATTAAGAACAGGCTCAGAACTTTCCCGTGTGCAAAGTACAATGATCGCATTCACTGCCGGCCCCCCCCAGCCCCACCCTGAGATTGGCGAGCAGAGCTGTCTTTAGCAAGACCTCTCTCTAAACAGCCTGTTTCATAAATGGTAAGGGAATCTGACTTCAAAGGCAAGAATCCTCCCCAACTCTATTTTCTGACAATTGAGTGTCATGGAAAGCGTTCAAGAGCTGCCAGATGCTAATGTCCAAATGCCAGAAAAGACTGTGTACGTACCTGTGCCTACCACACCTCACCTGCCGAGTGATGCTAGACGCCCCACCCCCCCAAGATGGCGCAGTCAAGTGTCAGTCTGTTAGATCCCCACACCTGGCAGTACTCTGACTTGGAGAAGGGGACAACTTGGTTCCTGCAGACACTGACAGGTGGTCACCTTGCACAGGGGCAATGGGCATGGGCCACGGGAAGAGGAAGATCTAGACCAGCAAACCTCCCAGGAAAGGGGACCCATGTGTACAAACGCAGGACATCAGGGCTGAGACTGAGACCCGTGGGGTCCAGCAAGAAGCCCAGCTTGACCAGGGACACGATTTATGCTGGGGACCACCTGGGAGACCTGAAAGCTCGGGGGAGACATCTGTAGGCCATCAAGCTGAATTTGGCATTGTCTTCCAAGCTTTGCAAATGAATCCTAAAACAGTCAGCTCATCCAGAGGGAAGAACAGCACAAGGCTGCCGAGAGTGGACCTTGTTGACACCGCCGGTGTGCAGCGCAGACGGGAGCCACAGCGCCATCTCGCATCAGGCCGCGGGCCCAGGGCGCCCCCACCCCCACGGCTGCTTTTTGCTATATGCAGAAAAATGTCGGTGAGACGCCAACTCCACATTTTTGAAAAATTTATTTTATACCCTTAGAAGCTAAGAACTCTGCCACTCATGAACCAAATTTAGAATTAAGATAGTTCCCTAGTTTATCTATTTCCTTTTGAAATTTTATAAACAAGATTTTGTACACAAGAGGTAGCAGAGGACAATTCCAGTCTGCTCGTTCCCAGCTCACAAGGCAACTGCACACCCCTCACTGCTGGCAGGGCGGGCGGGCGGGCGGGTCTGGCGGCATGCTGCTCTGGTCCTACCGTTTGTCTAGCTGCAGTGACCAGGTGAGGATGCCTGTTGGGAGGCTCGTGTGCTTCTTTCCCAGAACGCCTCTCTGGGCACTTGGCCGTCCTCGGGAGGGCCTCGCGACAGAGCTTCTCGAGAACACACAGCACTGAGTTAGTCGTGCAATGCCTACGTGACTTGCAGACCACTTTGAAAGATTTATAAAAACATCTTCATCCAAAAAATTGGCAGTAAAAATGACAACTCTTCCAAGGTAGGCCTGTCATAATTGTCACTTTGTTGTACTACTTTAAAAAAAGTCATCAGCAGGTGCGTAGACTACGGCTGTTGGAAATCAAGTGCTTACTGGCAAAGGGAAAGTGATGTTCATTGCAGCGAGAACGTCGGCACAATTAACCAGAGCATGTGACACACAAGAGCGACGGGCGATCGAATGAGGCTTACGGTGAGGACCGCAGGTGCTGGGGGCGTGGAAGGCGTTGTTTCCATAGGAAATAAGGGGACTAGAAGTGGCGACTTCACTCCTGAATTAGGCTCCTGAGAGTGCACTCACTAGCGATGATATCCCAACAGGTATCATCGCCAGCGTTTCAATGTCAAGTCCACACAACCGTTCTGTGAGGGTGGGGGTGGAGAGAAGGGTGAGCGTGGGGTGGGGAAAACAGTATGACACAGAGTATTCATGGACTCAAAATGCATTTTAAAACATCACATTCAAAATTGCAAGAACATCAGAACCATATAAAATTCGCCAGCTGCCTCCGACTATTTCTCTGAGGCCGCAGTGCTGCTCTGAAATGCTGGCCCCCGCATCTCCTTGGCGTATTGGACAAAGCCCTCGCTCGCCTGCGGTAAGTTAGACCATTACAAACTGAAGCCTGCCGTGCAGAAACTTCAACAGTTCAACAGTGAAATGACGGGGCGACTGAAATGCACAGCAACAAGAGGCTGGTGTCCTGTCACATGCTGCACAACCTTAGAGCCACCAAAAATGCCAGTGGGGCCGGCCGCACCGCTGTGACCTGGCAATTCCAGCCGACAGTGGCAACCCGGCACTTCCCAAGGCTCCCCTGGTTCTGTGCATGGTGAATTGAAAATAAGGCAGAACACCTAACTAAAGACAAAACAAGGTTGAAACTGTGGGTAGCAACTCAAAATACAAAATGTACAAAATATATGAAATACGTTGGCATATCCCCTCCCCCTGCCACAGAAAGAGGAGCTGGACTCGCACCTGAAGTCAGTGAACGGTGTTCTACTTGGGACATACAGCCACGGGGATGGTTGTTCAATTGCTTTCTAGTTATTTCTGGGAAAATAAATCTCAGTCTTGTCTTTTCAGTGTTAATTAGTCATGTTGAGGAGAAACAGTCTCGAATTCCTTCCCTGCATTAAAGTTACTAGGAACTCACAAAGCAGCGTCTCCAACTCACATACCCACCTTCACAGACAACCAGTCCCAAGGGCTTCAGTAACTACGTTTTAAGCAAAAGCAAATGATTGCAGATCACGTGATTTAAGACTACAGTGTATTCAATATGTCTCCACACGTTAAAAAGATGATTTTATGGAGTCAAACTCAAATTATATTTTAAAGTGCTTTTTATTTTGCTGTTTTTAAAATTTGTCTTGGGAAACAACTCATAACCTCCTCAGTGACTGATGTCAAAGGAGGCCCCTGTACTTCTGGAGGGCACAGAGTTTTTTTTTTATTGCTCTTTTCAGTCTCAATTATATCAGAAAAATACCTTAAAGAGCTTAATAATTTCCCAATTTTTGATCCTGGTAACATATCATCAAGGTCCAAGTTTACAACCAGGGCTCTCATCCAGACCCATCTGAAGTTCTACAGAAACAGGGAGACATATTAAATACAAAGGT